ATCGGATCCTAAGTTGTGGTAAGACTTTGAATGAAGGAGTGGTTAAAGATTTACTTAACGACTGATTAGCTCTCACTTCACGAATGAATTGCTTTTCAAATCAAATCATTGAATACAACAGACATTCAAACAATGAGACCATCGGTTGATGTCACGAGAGATCACTATTTCCTATCATTTCTACACTTATTTCCCATTCATTTGTCTCTCATTATCTCATTATAACAATTAGTTAATCAAATGGTAATTCAAAATTTAATTCAGAGATTAAATTTCAAACTATGAAAAGCAGTTTAATATATAAATTGTGTCAAATATACAGTTGTTTCCATTTCATTGTGACAAATATCTGTAAATAAGACCACAAGTGATGTGTCAATGGTTTTGTTGCTGTCTTTGCTTTGGAAAACCAAAAGCAGATCAAAAGAAGTCAAAGAAAGAGAAAAATAAAACTGACGGCAAAACCATTGATAATAAAGTGGAGACAAAAGTGAATCCAAAAGGAAAGTCAGACATCGATGGGAAGACAGCAATGGATGCTTCAGATCAGAAGAATCCCAAAGAATTGGTCTCTTTTTATCACAGTCCTGAAGATTACGCGGTCAATAAAGACACACAGAATGTGAAGTCAAATGTGAAACCAAATGACAGGCAAATGGATGAACAGTCGATGACACCATCAAAGGTGTCGTTGGAAGTAATTACGAGGACATACCGATTGCCTGACAAAAGTCTGAAAGTGAGAACAACTGAAGAACTGATGATTTCATTGGGATATGAGTTCTCCTCGACTGTGATCGGAAGCGGAGGCTTCGGACGCGTGAAGAAAGTGTTGAGAAGATCTGATGGGAAAGTGATGGCCTGTAAGGAGATTGCGATCAACAAATCAAAGAGAGAGAAAGCGGTGAAGTCATTGAAGAATGAGATCGCAATTCTTAAGAGAGCCCAAAACAAGTATATCATTCATATGTACGACAGCTTTATTGTTGAGGACAGGGATAGCATGACTGCATACATATTCCTCGAGTTTGCCGACAGTACTTTGGATAAGGATATCAATTACGGGATAGACATCGAGACAGCGAAGAGATATTTTGCACAAATAGCGACGGCTTTGATATCTCTTCACAAGAAGGGAATCGCACACAAAGACCTCAAACCAGAAAACATTTTATTAGTTACTAATGAAAAGACAAACGAAGTGGAGGTCAGAGTCACTGACTTTGGGTTATCACAGAAAGTCTTCATTAAGAGTGAAGGTATCATCAAAACGGGACACTTCGGCGGCACCCGAGCTTATATGGCCCCCGAGATCATCGATCAAGAGGTTCACAAAGATCTCCGAAAGTCGAGGGCCTATAACTACGACCCCATGAAGGCCGACATATGGGCGCTGGGGATCTGTCTCTACGAAATGCTCACAAAACAAGTGCCTTTCGACTCATCAAACCTGTCAGTGATGTTAGAGAACCAGAAGAGCCGTCTCTACACTCTTCCCAAACACATCGACCCAATGGCAGCCGATCTGTTGACACAACTCTTAACACCCTAACCTAAGGACCGATTGGATCCGTTCGGAATCCTAACCCATCCCTGGATTGAAGGCAAATCTCACTATTATTTACCACTCATTCATTCAAACCAATGATAGATTCACACCTTTTATGAGATATATTTAAATCTTAATTGTATTCAAAATCTATTATTTCTTTTTGTATTTATTAACTTTTATAACTATAATATATTTCAATGCACTTATTACTGTATTATAATAATGATTGATTAGTTAAAATTTAACTAACTGTTAAATACATAATTTTAATTTCACTTCAAATTAGAGTTTAAAATAATAAAACTTTGTAAAACAGAATTTCTAACTTCTAATATCATTTGATAAGAATTTAATTATAAATGTTTGCACCAATTTCTTTAAAGTCTCAAATATGATTGAATTCATGATTCATTTCTTCATTTTACAAATCGAGAGCTCATTAATTATTTTCATTTCATTCCTATTATTGAGCTCTAGATTAACGAAACGAGTCTCTTCTGTCTTATTCTTAAGTTTTTCTGTCACTTTCTCGCGAAGACTTTCAAATCGCTTCACCTCCTCTTCATTTCCGCACGTTTTTGAGTCGACTATCATTTTGCATAAGTTTTCGTAAACATATTTTAACATTCCTACTGAAGTTTTAATGATAGTATCCTTTACATAGAATGACATTTAGTTACTAAAACTTAAACAAAATATTGAGAATATATGCAAACCTTAGCTCTTTTAATATCCATATATATAAGAAGTGTCGATAAATCAAGTTCTTCGCTGAACTCATTCTTCAATTGAACGCTTCGATAGCCTGTAAGATATGGTAATTACTTTTGATGACAACTTATTTTTCATGTCAGACATCACCCAAACCTGATCTCAAACAAGTGACAGGAATTGTGGAGTGGCCCACAAAACTGGAGTCATCGAAGGTATCCAAATGACTGACCAAAAACCGGATTAATGCCAATTCAGGACAAACTATATTGAAGACAAATGTCTCTCTCGACCAGACAGGGTTCAGGCCGTTGTCATCTGTCCCATAGAGTGGTGTCATTACTTTATATGTAAAGTATCTTTCACTTAATAAATTAGTTGATACTTACGGACCACTCGAGTCAAACACTTTCTGCAGTCATACTCCACTCCAATCATCTCTATTTCAATGGAAGGGCTGACTATACCTTTGAGAGCTTTCTTCAGATGTCTGGCACCGATTACCTTAAATGATAATTTTAATATTTTTGCTAAAATTACTTATGATAATCTATTTCTCATATCTAAATACCCTAACTGTCAGTACAAGTGGATTAAAATTGTGAATTTCTGATGGCTTTTCATAAGGATTATAGGTATCGTCAAACATGTATTGAGGTTTCAAAACATAACCACTTTTGCCGTTTTGCATAAACATGGCCTCATTTAATTGCATCGCCTTATCGGGAGTTTGATAGTTAAGGGCAACCATCTGAAGACCACAGTTCCACATCCGGATGGGATCGTAGTTTGAAGAGTCCAGACGAGATCCTTTCGGGTAAACTCTACTCAATTGCTTTTCATTGTATTTTAAAATGTTTTTAAAATTGTTTGGATTTATGAGTTTTTCCACTTTAATTTCGTGAAAGGAAGATACGGACCACTCGAGTCAAACACTTTCTGCAGTCATACTCCACTCCAATCATCTCTATTTCAATGGAAGGGCTGACTATACCTTTGAGAGCTTTCTTCAGATGTCTGGCACCGATTACCTTAAATGACAATTTTAATATTTTTGCTAAAATTACTTATGATAATCTATTTCTCATATCTAAATACCCTAACTGTCAGAACAAGTGGATTAAAATTGTGAATTTCTGATGGCTTTTCATAAGGATTATAGGTATCGTCAAACATGTATTGAGGTTTCAAAACATAACCACTTTTGCCGTTTTGCATAAACATGGCTTCATTTAATTGCATCGCTTTATCGGGAGTTTGATAGTTAAGGGCAACCATCTGAAGACCACAGTTCCACATCCGGATGGGATCATAGTTTGAAGAGTCCAGACGAGATCCTTTCGGGTAAACTCTACTCAATTGCTTTTCATTGTATTTTAAAATGTTTTTAAAATTGTTTGGATTTATGAGTTTTTCCACTTTAATTTCGTGAAAGGAAG